ATTAGATGGGCAGCAAGTTACACTCTTACCCTGGACAAAGTTAGGGCACATATAACATTTACACTGTGCGAAACAATTAAATGAGCATATTATACATAAATGAACATTATATACGTAAATGAGCATACATGAGCGTATTATCATACTATGACTACTCATACCCTGGACAAAGTTAGGGCGCATACAGCATCTATGAAAACGATCTACACAATCACTTTTTAACGTGGTGAGCTCTTGAAAAATGCTAACCTACTTTGGAAGTAGCTGCCAGGAGGTGCTGTTATCGTTAATAGCTGGCATCCTATCGCGGATGGTGATGGATTCAGCAATCCTCCTGTCAGCTTCATCCTTACATTTGCGTACGATGCGTGCTATCAGAGTCGTGTCCGTTGGGGTCAGGTCTGGGTGCTCGTGCGCGAAATGTTCACCCATTGGTGTGCCTAGTTTCTTGTTGGTGCCATCTCGTAAGTGTTCGTTATATCGCAGTCGTATTGGCCTACCGTGCAACCAAACTTACGTAGGAGAAAGCGGTAGGCCAATACGACTGCGATCAGGGGCGTCGACACCGGTCCGACTTTTCCGACTAGTCGGACCACTTTTTCGACTAGGCGGTGCCCTGCTGTGGCTCGCGGGGGCCCCTGCTGCAGACCGCGGGGGCCCTACTGCGGCTCGGGGGGCCCTGCTAAAGACCGCGGGGGCCCTGCTGCGCCTCTGGGGCCCTGCTAGACACCGCGGGGCCCTGCTGCGGCCCGCGGGGTCCCCTTCTACGGCCGCGGGGGGCCCTGTTGGGGCTCTCGGGGGGCCCTGCTGCGGCCACGGGGGCCCCTGCTGCGGCAACGGGGGCCCCCCGCTGCGGCTCGCGGGGGCCCTGCTGCGCCTCGCGGGGCCCTCGCGACACCTGGGGGCCCCCACCGGTGGGGGCCCCCCGAGAAAAAGTCGGACCAGTTTTCCTTACGCGTCGACGCCCCTGACTGCGATATAACGAACACTTACGAGATGGCACCAACAAGAAACTAGGCACACCAATGGGTGAACATTTCGCGCACGAGCACCCAGACCTGACCCCAACGGACACGACTCTGATAGCACGCATCGTACGCAAATGTAAGGATGAAGCTGACAGGAGGATTGCTGAATCCATCACCATCCGCGATAGGATGCCAGCTATTAACGATAACAGCACCTCCTGGCAGCTACTTCCAAAGTAGGTTAGCATTTTTCAAGAGCTCACCACGTTAAAAAGTGATTGTGTAGATCGTTTTCATAGATGCTGTATGCGCCCTAACTTTGTCCAGGGTATGAGTAGTCATAGTATGATAATACGCTCATGTATGCTCATTTACGTATATAATGTTCATTTATGTATAATATGCTCATTTAATTGTTTCGCACAGTGTAAATGTTATATGTGCCCTAACTTTGTCCAGGGTAAGAGTGTAACTTGCTGCCCATCTAATTGATCCGCAAGTATTGTTTCATCTTAAATTCGTATATGCTTAGGCACACACGCACTTTAATCTTGTGTATAGGTTTTTCCCTGTACATTATGTTTGACTGCTGCGACTTTTAGAATTACCAACCATAAATCTTTTCCCTGAGGACATATCTACTGTTGTGCATGTGTACTGAACAAAAAGTATTTTGACATCTACAATTGTGGCGCCTGCTGGTATCGGTTGACAAAGATCTGTGATCGAATATACCCGAATTTTTGCTATTTGTCATTTTATTCAGATTACATTGAGGATTCGGTCAATTAAAAATATGCTCATAATCATCATTATGATTTTCCTCACTACGCTAAACTCTCTTAAATGTGAAAATGCAGTTTTATTCACCTCGGTTTTTTGCTACGGACCTCGTGCCTACCGGCACTCGGTCCTCCGCACAATAACCTCGGTGAATAAAACGCATTTTCCCAGCCCCGGTCGGGAATATATAATAGACTTGCACAAAGCCGAGAAAAAGAAAACGTTTTACTAAGAAGTTGGATTTGCTGTTCAATTGCCAAAATTTGACATGCTAGATGCATTTTGTAAACGTCAGCTTTATTATGTTGTTCAATTAATGCAACGTCTAATTACTTCATTTATCTCTGTTTATACCTAATGAAGAAACGTACTGAAGCTGAAAATACAGGCCGCTCATGTGAACATTTATTAACCTGACAGCTCCTATGAACTTGAAATGGCCCCCGTTAGATTTCATAATCTTTTCAGTAGTTCATAAACTGTACTTAAATGACCAACTCTGTAAGCTAACTATGTGCGAAATTAAACGTCAACTCATTTCATAATCTATAACAAACGAGGTTAGGTATGACGAAATCTTTTTCAGCTTTATCTAGTTTATTTTGCAGAATGGGTTGGTATCTTTTGGTAATTTTCACATGTTCTTCCAATTCAGTGAGAGTGACACCACAAATCCTGTTGCATTCCATCAACACTCAGGCGTTACGAGGTAACTAAATAAACTGTATCATGTGTCACGTGACGCTCCCCCAGGTCACGCCGCCAGAACTCACAGCGAGCACGTCATTCACTGAAAGGCGCGCAAAAACGCAGCACCATGCTCCGCTATGGAATGTGACCTCACCCACCCCCTACTTATGTATTTATTGGTGTTGGGGCTGTGATTTGGCCGATACATACTGACATGATAATAGGCGCCATAGCTCATCATTCCATGGGACAACGTACAAGTGCAGTAATGAAAAACATGATTAAACGAAAAAAGTTTGGTTTTATCTGCCCGTAATCAGGATCTCCAACTGTATATCCCTATTGTACGAGCATATATCTTATGTTAGAATGAAAGGGATGGAAGAGATGCAGAAAGCTAGGGAGAAGAACAAGTGAAGCTGGGGAGGAGAATGGGGATTGGAGAATGGCGTTACTCCGTTTGGCAATAAACTACGCCTGGGGCTGCCCACACTCGACCTCAAGGCACCATGGTCGTCGAAAGTCTCTCAATATCAGTCCATCCATAGCGTCACTCACTCCCAGCAACACAAAACAAAGAACAACTGCAAACAAGCCCGCAAACCTCCACAAAAGACACGCTCGCCCTAACGCATCAGTAGGTAATTTAGCCGATCGACCTCCCACGCAGTCCACCAACGCTGCGTTCTCACGCAGAAACACTGCACGCAAATGACGCGTGCACACACACGCCACTCGCTCATCTCCGCTGTGTCGGAGCGGAGTTCCGCGGAGTTCCGCATCCGCCGAGTCGGCCCGGCCGGCTCAACGTCGGTAATACGGAGATCAAACGCCTACTGAGTGCCGCTAATCCTGTCCGACACGACGCCGGGATGTATCGACGCACCACTCGCCGTCGAGCGGGGATGCTCGCAGTCTGATCGGCCGCCAGGTCAGGTCGGTAGTACAGGGAATTGTGTAGATCGTGTAGGTGATCCTGGGTTTCGTCAGCGTGGCGGTCTCCTAGAAAGGACTACAGAATGGTCGTGGAATTAGGAAGGTAAAAATGCAGGTGCAGGGACGTGTAAGCTGGGATTTCTGTGCTGCAGGATTCCAGAGGAGCTGCATGACTTCCGTTCTCGTGGACTGCGCAGTGGGTTCATGGTGGATGAGTGAGTGAGAGTGAGAGTTGCACTCGTCCGTATGCATGGCCGGAGTTTGAATTTGAACTCTTTAACTTCTCGCCATGCTTTCGACTCATTCGACGGTGTCTGGGTCCGCCATCTGCTCTTGTTTCATGAGCTGGGGCTCTATCTGGCGCATTATGGGTGCGGCTGGCCTCCCAGGCGTGACCGGCATAGACCAGCAGACTACCACCACACCACACCGGCCCGGTGCGGCGTCCGACAGTGGTCCCAACAGTCGTCCGAACAGTCGGCTGCCGCTGCCGACGAACCGCGATCAATAGGGGCACAGACGGCCGCCACGGACCAGGTCACCGGGTCGCCACCACCCCCTATCTTTACGACCGACCGTCGGCGGCCGGACGGCAGTCGGCACAGCCGTGATCCTTGATTGGCCCCGGCAGAAAGGTCGTGGCCGCTGGCGTCTGACGTCCACCGGGGCAGCCACAGGTCTGGAGGAGACGGCCGGAGACGGCTCATGCATACGTGGGAGCGTTATTGGAGTAATGAGCCTGCCAGCGCCGCACGACGGGAGCGACAGGGGAATACGGTCCGATGGGGAAAGGAGGACGGAGTGGGGTCGATTGGGGAGGAACGGAACGGGGTGAGCTGGCGGAGAACGGAACGGAATGGGGTTTGACTGGTGGTATAGTCGGAACGGAACGGAGCTCAACTGGGAGCAATGGACGATGCGGAAAAGGGCTCAACGAGCAAGCAGTTATCAGGAAAGCAACTGTCAAGGGACGCAACAAACGAAACGGAACAGGGCTCATCTGGCGATGAACGGAACGAACGGGAAACGATTGGTGATGGCTAGCGAAACGGACCGGGACCAATCGCTGTGGGCGGGCGGACTAACCTAACCGGTCCTGTGAGTAGGCCAATGAGGAAGGCGGCTGTTTACCTGTGTCTATTGTGTCACTATAGAAAGTTCTGACTGAAAACACTGTATAGTAGGTAAATTGTACGGTAACGTTTCGTGTCCGTGGTATAAAAGGAGGGATTGAATACGGATTCAGAAACGTGCAAGGTGAATGAAGGACAGAGACGGCAGGACGTTTACAAATCGGTGCTTATGTTGGCTCTACTCTGTCCTGAGGTGCCATAGATCGCCTCGAAGCGTGCCACTCGATTATCAATTTCATGGCAAAAGGCACTGATCAGATGTCAGTTCTGGTCCGCTTTGGCTGTGCAAAGTAATGTAGCGTAAAACGAACGTTCTTTTTAACGCTCTTGTTAAAAAAACAGCCAAACAGCCAAAAGCAGTCAGCTTCGGGGAAGGCTAACGCAGAATCGTTTCTGATATTGTCAAGACATTGTAAAGACAGTGGTTAAGCCTTTGACACTGACTAATTGACTGCCATGCCCACACGCTGTGTGGCGGTACAAAACTCACCGGTTGGACTCCGGCCGCAGAAGACGCAGCATTTTTGTCCGAGCAGTCTGTCCAGCTTCTGCCACATAGCTGTCTAACCGGCTTCTGGTTATGACGACAGAATAGTCGGCGTTTCACTCGGCTGACATGTCCGTGCAGTTCGGTTAGTCAACACACCGCTTCCTTGGATCACCGATAATTTACACTCGCGTACCCGTCAACACAAACGCACACTTTACACTCCAGTTTGTTCCATCGCACTCCTACACACTCCCACGGTCCTTCCCAGCTCCAGTCTACACCATGCTCAGCTGGCCCGGTGGTGGGTCGGTGCCGTGCTCCTGCACCGCCTGGCTACACCCACCCCGTCGGACGGCGCGCGCGCGACTGACTGCCGAGCAGGAGCCGCTGCTGTTCTGGAGCTCCGCGCACCGCAGCGCCTTCCGCGCCGCCGCGCCGCGCCGTGGAGGACCGGCGAGCGGTGGCGGGGGCGGTCCCTAAGAAATGTCTCATGGGGATGCCTCGCCAGACTCTTCGTCATTGGAATGCACCAACATCCATCATCAGGAAAAAATAGAATGAACTTTCATACGGGGTTTGCTTAGAAAGGCGTTTAGGACACACATGCCGTGCTAACCTGTTCCGGTCTATGCTTTCCGTGAACTTCGCGGGGTTTACTGGGCATTGTGCTTGCAGAATCATACAATAATTTTATGCTTGTGCATGTATTGGGTCTATGCTATTGGGAGGATTACACCAGATCTAGTGGCGAAGCTAGTTGGTATTGACTGGGCATTTATTGCATGATTATTTTATTGCATAATACCTTCATTGCATAGTGGATTTCATAAACCATTTGCCGTCGGTGTTATTTCATGAGACTCATTGGTTTTGAGTACCAGTCGTTATGTCATCGACATTAAAACATTATCATGTTACAATATACCTATGGCTCGCTTCGCGCTTCGAACGTTTAACATGTGGATTAGCTATCTGCTTTGCCAAACAGAGTAAGCTTTTTTCTTATAACATACTGCTTTCTTCCTGCTTTCTGATTTGCACTTTTCATCAACATTCGGTTTTACGATCGTCTAGGCAATCGTTTATAACCCGATTCAAACTGAGATGGATTTTCCCCGGAAGACATGGTGCAACAAGTCGGGCTTCGTCGGCGGGCTTACAGCATTTTGAGAACCTCAGAGTGGCGCAACATGCTACAAATGTTATAGGCTGTCAGCGAAGTTAAGAAAAGTTCAATTGAAAGCTACCTATATAGATATATTATTTGCAAAGGGCAGGTGGCATTGGACATACCAGATCACAGTGTACTGCACATAACTTATGACGGTAAAAGAAATTGTTAGTTCTTTATTGTGTTTTACTGGTCTCCATTATAGTTTCAATATACTTTTACCTTTCTTAATTCATTCGCTTTTTAACTTACATTACTATTTCAGTCTAGATGTGTTGAAATAATGCCTACATGGTCGCACAAACCCAAAAAGTTAATTGCTGCGGGGTCTTGTATATGCCAAATCACGCAGCGAGTCGTCGGAAGTCCCCTGAAGCTTCTGCTGAAGTAGTGAGCCGTAATCTACTGCTGTCGGCACCAGGCTGGATTCCGTCCGTGTCGCTGCAACAAATGGGTCACAGATTCCAAACTCCATCACGGCACAGTCTCGGGAGCAGTGACCCTGAATCAGCAGCCGCTGAGACGACTAAAAGATTAACAAGTAGGTACATACATTTCATGTTGGTTTGAAGTACTACCGTGTTCTTAAACATTTGTTGGATACTTATTTTTCAAATTTGGTTGCTTAGTTACTCATTTTTTCGATAAAACACCCACACTTTTCTTCATGATAAAAGTAGAATTTAATAACTTGAATTGGAAGGCCAGCAGCTGAACTTTCTCCCGGCAGTTTGAATCAGTCAGCTCTCAAACCATTGCCTCCGTCTGACACATCACCAGCTCAGATCGTCGTCATCAGCGCTGCAGCTCGTCTCCGATGTGTGATGTGACAGATGGGTCCAATTTGGTCCGCGGCTGGGACACAGTCGCAGACGGCGCCGGCACGGCCGAGAAATATCGCCCCCCGTCTCAGCGACCCACCGAGCTCGGCCGCCGCCTGGGGTCGTCCCACGGGCAGTCGACGCCGGACGCTGGACGCATTTTACGGCGACAGATAAGCTAAAAGAGTCTCGCCTCGCAACTCGAGAGGGTGATTCTTTATCTGAAGCACTCTGGTCTGCGCAGATAGGTGAACAAATATTTTGAAATTAAAAAAAGTTGTCTGCTCAATGGTTGATGAAAGTTATAAACATATGGTGGCCGGAAAGACGACACTTAAGTATGTCTATGGACATTTGAAATTATATTCTTGAAATTTTTCCATCATATTCTCATAATATAATTATTCACAAACTTTCTCTTCGGTTAAACCGTATTATCAATGATGCTCCCTGCTTCCGCATTTGTGTTCAATCTGATCATTTTTATCAATTTTTAACGAGACCAGGTCCCAGTGACGTTGATACTGATATGTGAGATTAACTTTGCTATAATCACAGCTACTGCGCCGCTTCCCCGGATAGGTACCCGGGCGAGGAGATTTCATCCGGTGGCGATTTGGCCGAAGCTCGGCAATCCACCGAAATGCGCCCGGCGCGGCGGGCCGGCGTTTCATTTGAACCGGTGGGATTTCGCTAATGCCCTGGGCGCTGATAACTGCGCCCATTATACTGCACGCCCGCTAGTTTCCGGTGACCAGATTCCTCGCCGCTCACCAGCACGGCGCGTGTGAGCTTCTTCGCCAACCCCGTTCTGAGTCGGCTATTCAGCCAGTTTGCGGCTCCTCAAAGCGGCGCCCCGAAAAATCTTTGAGGCGAAATTGGGCGATGTTTACTCTCCGTGGGCTGCTGTGTGACAGAGGGGACGGACAAAACAGCAGCCGTTCAGAGGAGGAGGGTGCTGACTGCTGCATCATCCGGTTGCTATATACGAGGAGTCACAAGTGGCCAGAGAGGGTGGTGGACGCACAACGGGCCACAGCAGGCGAGGGCAGCCGGCACTTGTTAGGGCTATCCAAAACAAATGATAACAGGACTCTGTTAAAAACGGTCGTAGATACAGTTGATAAAAAGCCAAACCATATTTAAGTCGGTTTTATTCATCAGTGAGTTGATCCATTCGCATATCAAAATAAGGAAAAAGAGGTTGCAATTTTTAGAAGATAGCAGAAGATACGCAGAGTACAAATTATTATGATCATTATTATCTTATTATTTGAATTGTATCCTTCTTAGCATTTGTGTGGTAGCAGACAGTTCCTTTCTACCTCACCCACCGCCCATTGCCCGTTTGTATGCTGCAGTCGGGTGGCATAGATAGAAGGCACGCGGCCGCCGGCAGGCAGGTTTGTTTTCGGCCCGTCTCGCCGCAGGTCGGAGGTAATTTACCATCCAGGAGAGGAGGGGCTGTTGAGCACGAACACGCCAGGTCGTCGGCAGCGGGACCGACGGCGGACGCTGCGGACCGGCGGCGTAGAACAGTCGGCACGCGACTCGGACGTCTCCAGAGACGGTCAGAGAGAGCCGGTAGATATTTTGGAATCGCGAACGTTCTATGGTCGCTGACAATGTACCTGTAGAAGTTTTAGCCTCTAGCTTCTGACTTGTCATGGCACATACTATTAACCCTCGCCGGCCGAGGGGGGGGGGCGGGGTGCCCCCCATAGGTTTTTTTTTTCGCGATAGCTCCGAACACGCTGGCGATAGAGAGCTGAAACTTGGCATATCTAACCTTTGGTTCAAGCCGGATCTTTTGACACCAACCGCATTTTTGGGTCAGGTCAGGTCACTGATCTATTACGTCATAAGTGAACCTCTAGTATCCATTATGATTCTCACAACTTTTGTATCTCGGATTTTTCCTAAAGGTCATATGAGGTCAGGTCATTTTCGTGACCTCGCCATTATAAGTCAATGGGGAAAAATGAAAACTGCTATTCTGGCACCGGGAACGATCTCCAACTATCTCAAGCACACAGAATCGTGATTTGATGCACTCCTTGCAGGGTTCGATGCGTCACTTTTGCAATGTTGACCTTGCGTGACGTCATTTATGACGTCATCAAGATCATATTAGTTTTTCGTCAATAACTCTTGATCAAATTGAGCTAGCGAGTCGGGGAAGCCACCAATGGACTCAGGAAGACCTGCCGAATCGAATGATATGCGACATGACCTCTTTCGACCAACTTCGTGACCTGGGGGTGCTGACCTGACCTTGACCTGAGGTCAACACCCCAAGTTGACCTGCCCCGGACAAAAAGTATATCATTCGACGCGCCGGAGCGAGGCGAACACGATGCTGCCAAAATTGCGGCTCTGCGGCCATTTTTTGCGAAGTTATTCACCAAAAACTGAACCGTACCTTGGGGCACTTGACCTGACCTCAGAGGTCACCGGTTGACCTAGGACCTTAAACTCGGGTACCAATCTCTGCGTCTCGTAACGGCGCACACGCTCGTTTTTTCCGCGACGCGCTAGCTCCACCAGGGGCGAAACGGCGAGGGGGGGGGGTTCGTACCCGCCCCCGCCCCCCTCGGCCGGCGCGTAATGTAGAAAACCAGTAGGTCCGGCGAGGGTTAAGAGTCACCGACCCTGTTTTAGTCCTTTGCCACCTCGTTCTTATGATGTCCTCGAAATTTCATCACACAGTCTCCAACCTTGACCGACTTTCCCATGACCTTAACACGCGCCCGATTCTGTTACACAGCCGCACACCCTTACCTCAGTATACATTTCCTAATCTCCCCGGAAAGTCTTGACCCTCATAAAACAGTATTTGGCCATCGCGTTGTACAGCAAACTTGCCCAAACTTTCCAGGAAACGACAGAGCATCCACTCTCATCATTGACCTGCTGTAAACCGGGATACAGCTTCACCAGAAGTTTTGTTTTCAGGCGTTCAAGGTTTTGTCGGACGTTTCGGCTGCTTGGCTGCTTGGTGTTTTCTTTGTTTCTACTCTGTGGACGTGTAACACCATTTCACCGACTTTTCTTGACTCACCGACTCATTTACGTGATGGTAGCTCTTTGAGCGTCCGATGTTTGTTTTCTTTTACTTTCTCTCTTTACACTATATACCTACCTTTCTATATGTCTCTTTCAACCTTTCCCGCCACACTTTCATCTCCTCTTTTCTTTTTTCTTTATCCCTTCTTTTTTCCTTTGTGTCTCATCATGTTGAATGAAAAATTAGGAGTCGAAAACGAACTTTTTTATTTGCTCACGACAGCATCAGGGCAGTTTCCTTGACCTTGCCTAGCGTTGTTTGGAAAATTATTCTTT